CCCCATTTTATTTTAAGCAGTGACTCAACTTTATTTTTGGTCAGTTTGACGTGTGCTCAATGACCTGTTCCTCCAATCCACCCATCCATGCTCTTTATTGCTTTTACTCAATGAGGGTTATTTCGTGAGTAATCATTAACTGAAAGAAAATTGGTGAGTACATTTGACAACCTTTCTGACACATCTCATAAAATCACATTCTACTGTATTACATGTTAGCGCAATATTTCAACACGAAGATAAGCTGTACAAATAGTATCCCGAATGATCTGATTGGTACATCGAGGATGTATGTAATTACTGACAGAGCAGTTACACATCTTTCTGGATAAAAATACAAACTGTCATCCATCTGCCAGCCTGCATGTGCACGTCCTGGCACATGTGAGCATACCGCCAAGTTGTTTTGTAGAGAAGCGCTTGGCCTTGTCAAATGCTGATGCACCATTTGTGGGGTGATGGAAAGGGGGAAAAACTGCATGGGAAAGGTTTGAGTGTGGGAATAAACAGGATTTAAGGGAGGAATCAGCTGACCTGGAGCTGGCCTTGAGGAAATCCGCACTGGATAACAACTAATGAAGCGTCCGAGTCGTCACTTCGAAACACGAATAGACAGTAGTCGTGCTAGTATGCCACCAGAGGGTATACTAAAAAAGCCACTTATCAAACAGCGTTTTCTGCTCAACAACACTTATAAAACATTTGTGAGTTGTTTGTGTCTGAGCGGTGAAATAAGAGATGCAAGCAGATGACATGTAGGAGGATGAGGATGGAGGAGAGAGTCCGTCTGTGGGCAGCCTTGGCCCGAAGCAACACGACAACAGAATGCATCTTGGTGGTTTCATAACACGTCTGCGCAACGTGTTCGCAATGGAGTTTCGCAGAAAGTCGCTCAAAGACTTCAGCATGATATGAGAGATTTGAGGCAAAATAATGTTCGGACCTTCTGCAGCACAGCCGTCGGCTAAATCGTGAAAATCTATTTTTGATTGTATATTGCTTTTAATAGGATGGAGGAATCTGAGCAAGTGTGCGTCGCAGTTGTGGTTTTAAAACTTCCTCTTCATGTTTGTCAGGTTCACGGAAAAGCTTTCAGAGGGCTAAACGTGACTGTGGATGGTTGTTTGTTTCTCGTTGCCTTGCAACTGGCTAGTAAGCAATTGAAGGTGTACCTCGCCTCGCCCCCATCAGCTCCAGCTTACCCTGACTCTAATGAGGATAAGCGCTATGGAAAATTGGTTAACAGATGGGAGAATCTCCCTCTAAATGTCTAGCTTAGACACTATCTGGCAGACAGGGCAATGTGTGTAGGCATTGGCAGTTCCAAGATCTGCGGTGCTCCACTATCTTTTGGGGTTCCACAAGGTTCAATTTTAGGGCCGCTGCTTTTCTCTTTATATTTGCTGCCTCTGTGATCCATCTTGAGAAAACAAAGGATTTCCTTTCATTGCTATGCTGATGATAGTTTTACGTGCCACTTAAGAAAGATGCCTTCTCTTTGCCACAGTTTTTATTGTCTTGAGGACATTAAAGCTTGAATGGCCAAGTGGCATTTGGTCCCAGTGACCCATGTAAATCCCTCCCTGTGGACTTGGGCCCTTGGAACACTTGGTGAAGCCAAGTTTCTTAAACCTGGGTTTGAAGGTCAAATCAGTGTGGTAGTTCAGTCCAGCATTTTTTCACCTGGACAAAAGCAAAAAGTCATTTCGATATTAATGTAAAGTTGTTGCTAAAATAAAAAATCTAAATGGAATGGAACAGAAATTCATATCACTTCTCACCTTCTGTTACACCTGTTAAAAGGATTCCTAGCCCAACAAAATTCTAGTGAAAACTCAGCTACTGAGAGAGCAGGAAGCTTTCTCACCGCTTAAACCCTTAAACAAGACACATGAAAAAAACGGATAATGTGCCATCACCACAATGACTGAGAAGACATGTGGAACCCAAACAAGATGAGGCTCGATAATGTAGGACTTAGAGCTGTAAATATACTGCCGCTAATCAGATTAGGGTTTCCTCAGCAGGTAGCTGCGCCAAGTGAGCGTCCCGAGAACAATTTCCATTCACAGTTCAACGCAGGTGTTGAGGAATAAAGCCTGCATGCACACAGTGGCGACATATCATGCGTTACAAGCATCTGGACGAGGAGACATAATGAATGAACATCATGCTCATTCATTGTCGTTACTAGCGCATTTTCCCAGGAAGTGAGGCGATACTGTGTCTACTCAACACCCTCCCCCCTTCCTCTA